AATACCACAAGCCGGGAATTTATAATCAACAGTCTAAGATTTTAAAAACATTAAAATTTCAATTTCAATAACAAATTTGTTGCTTATGGTTCTGGAGGCTGGGAACCAAACCTGAGGGGACAGTATTGGCAATGGCTTTGTTGCTGTGCCATCCTTTGCAGGAGAGCAGAGAAAATAAGAGGGAGTAAGGGGGAGTCAAGTTTATCCTTTTATAAGGGACATACCTCATTAGCCCATTTATGAGGGTAGAGCCCTCAGGGAATAACTGCTTCTTAAAGACCCCACCTTCCACCACCACCACACTGGTGATCAAATTTCTATCACATGCACCTTGAGAGACACAGTCAAATCATAGCATAGTTTGAAAAAATTAAAAGTCCCATAGCATGAAATGAAACTAATCCATTCTTTGACCTTATTTTTTCTCATTCTTAACAAAATCATGAAAACTAACTTGATCATAGTTTAAGGCTGATTAGAAACCCAGAGTTAATCCAACTCCAATCCTACCCATGAAGAGTACCCACACTTTAAAACCAGGACTCACACTGGGCACCGGTGGCTCATGCCTATAACCCTAGCTACTTAGGAGACAGAGATCAGAGTGATTGTGGTTCAAAGCCAGCCCAGGCAAATAGTTTGTGAGACCCTACCTTGAAAATACTGAACACATAAAAGTGCTGGCAGAGTAGCTCAAGTAGTAGAGTGCCTGCCTAACAAGTGTGAGGTCTTGAGTTCAAACCCCAGTACTACAAAAGTGAAAAAACCAAGACTCACAAGAAGAACCTAATTAATTGTCCATGGTTGTTCTACCATTTTGCTGGGTTCTCGGTGCGGGGAGGAGGGAACGACTGACCCTGCCAGTCTTCCTCCACCTTCTCTGAGTCAGTTCCACACCTTTCTTGTCTCACCCAGTCTCAGCCTCAGCAGGGCTTCTGCCCTCAGCAAATGGCTGGTCCTTGTAGGTCACTAAGATGTGAGCGCCCTGTCCTTCTCTCTTCTATTCCAGAACTTTCCTCCATCTCTAGACATCTTGCCTTCCTTACCCCTGTCCCATGAAGCAGGTCCTTCCTTCTGCCCAGGACTGACTCCCTGTCCTATGCTTCCAGTTCCCTGCCCCACTTCTCCAACCTCATTCCACCCACCAGCCCCTTGCTGTCTCTTGTATCTTGCTTTTTCTCTGCAGCATATATATGTGCTTGAATTCCTATACCATCTGTCAAAACTACCTCCAAAGTTCACGGGAAATCAAAATTAAATAATAGGGGAAAAATTCAAGTAAAGTTCATTAAAGAAATACAAATATTATGAGCTTTCACTTTTTCCATTTAGCTTAACAAAAGTCAAAAAAGCCAAGAAGATCTAACAATACTGAAGAAATGGGGAACTGCTTTTGCTGTCTGTTGTCACCAGGATGAATGGTCACACAGCATGTTGGAGGGCAACCTGACGATATCTACAATCAAAAACACACATGTGCACGCATCAGAATTTTCTGGCAGTTTTATTTGTAACAGCCCCGTATTGGAAGCAAACCCAACGTCCATCAACAGAAGAATGGATTGACACATTGTGGTATAACCATGTAGATAAACAGACCCTTAGGACACACAATAGCACACTGAGGGAAGGAACCCAGATCCAATATTGCACATACAGCAGATTCTCTCTGTAAATGTTTCAACTGATGAAAAACCAAGCCCTGGTGCTGGAAGTCATGATAAGGGCTACCTGGGCAGGAGTCAGGGATTAGTGACTGGGAGAAGATCGAAGGCTTCTGGAGTTCTGCTAAAACCCTGTTTCTTGCGGGTGCTGGTGACACAGTGAGTTTGCCCTATGAAGAGTCACTGAGTTGTACACATAAGTTCTTGTACCTTCCTATATTTATGCTATACTGCAATAAAACTGAGCGGGGAGGCAAAGAGAAGAGAAAAGGGAAGCAAGGGAATGGGTGGGGAGGGGAGAGGAGGGGAAAGATGGGAGGAGGGGAGAGATGGAAAAGGAGGGGGAGGGAGGAGAGAGGAGAGGCAGAGAGCAGTTAACCCAGTGATAATACTTCTAGGAACTGATCCTGTAGCTGTCCTTGCATAGGAGCAAACAGCTGGCAGTGAGGTGATGGGCAGAGTGCAGGGGGTCAGGATGGAGATCAGAAGGCAGTGGCATTTATTTAGATGAGCCAAGAGGGTGGCCTGGATCAGGGCAGGAGTGGGTGGGTGACAAGATTGGTTTGAGAGGTGTTTAGGATGATGTTATTGTTAAAAGAAAACAAGTGTGGGAAAGGGAGGAGTCAAAAGCGACTCTCGATTTCTGCTACAAGGAACACAGCATCTGGAGGTGCCCTGCTTGTAAGTGAGGAATCCACACTTGGGTAAAATATGAATTCAGGTCCAAGAACGCTGGATTACACGTGTCTGTGGGATGCCTAAGTAGAGAGGCCAGCAGGTGTTGGCTTTCATGCACTCATTCAACCAGTGGCTGCCGTGTGCCTGCACACCTGCATGGACACATTAGATACGCTCCTATTCCAGGGAGCGTCTATCTGGGAGGAGACAGGCAGAAAGCAAATAACTAGAGAAACAGGAAAGCTATAGATCACGAAAAGTAAACAAGGAGACCACAGAGAGGGAGTAATTGGAGGTTGGCTGGAGACCACAGGTACACGGGAGGAGGCCTCTCTAGGGGATGACAGGTAAGGTCAGAAGATGCATGTGCCAGAAAAACATTCAAAAGAACAGCAAGTGCCAGGTCCTGGAAACAACAGAGAGGCTGATGTGACAAGCAACCAAGAGGGGCCTTTGTCTTTGTTTTCTGTGTTGGAATACCTGCCCGCAGGCAATTTACACAGAGGTTTATCTGGCTTACAGTTCTGGAGGCTGGGAACCCCAGAGCATGGCGCTGGGATCTCCCTGCTGCATCACAATGTGGGGAGGGTATCACGTGGCAAGATGGAGCAAGCGTCCTTGGTATTTTTAAATTTTATTTTTATTTATTTATTTTTCAGCAGTACTGGGGTTTGAACTCAGAGGCTCAAGCTTCTTCAGAGGCCCTCTTACCACTTGACCCATGCCTTTTTTTCCCTCAATGCCTTTTTAAATTTTTTTTAAAAATTAATTTTTTAAAATTATTGTATTGGGGGTATATTGTGACATTTGCACAAGTTCTTACAATATATCATAGTTGAAATTACCTCCTCCATTCTCCTTTATCCCCCTCCCCCATTCCTGGAACAGTTTCAGCAGGTCTCATTTTTCCATTTTCATATGAGTACACAAAACTTGTACCATACTCACCTCCTACACCCTCTCTCCACATCTTCCTCCCTCCCACTGGTACCACCCCCCTCCCCAAGCATGTCTTGAATGTCTTAAGTTTCTGCCCTGGGCCCGCCTTGGACCAGCATCCTCCTTCTATGCCCCTGGAGTTGCTGGGATTACAGGTATCACCACTTACGCCATCACCGGGGCCCTCCCTGATTTTATTTACTCCTAATTACCTCTCGAAGGCTCCACCTCCAAATACCATTAGCATATGACTTTGGGGATTAGGTTCCCAGCACGTGACTTCTGGGGGCATTCAAATCACAGGAACCATACTGGGGTGTGGGAGAAAAGGCAGGTCCCCACAGGAGCTCACAGACCACTTCAGGGAGTGTGGCCATCTCAAGCACAGTGGGGCCACTGAAAGGTTTAAAGATTCCTGGTGATGCTGGGTGGGGAACGGACCGTGCCAGGGAGAAGGCAATGGAGGCAGCCAGGCCAAACAGAGTAGTCAAGTCTGAGTGGAAGATTAACTTCTCCCGTGCAGCTCCTCCGCCCTGCTCAGAGACTCCCCAGGTCTTTCTGGAAGCGTTAAACATGGTTAATTCGTCTTTAAACAGTCCTACTGTTACTTTCGACAAATTCCCTCTTTAGCCTACTCCACCCGCCTGCCCAACCAGACTAGGCCTGTGAGTAACACGGAGTGGGCAAGAGCCCTGGGCCCCACCTCCGACTTGCTCTGCCTGTTCACGTGAGTTTGGTGTGGCCAGGCAGCATGGTGCCAGGCTCCTGTCCACTGTCTTCTGCCGTGAACTTTTTCACAACTTGCTGGGGCTCCACCCATGTCAGGGTTCAAGGGTGGGCCCGGGAGGCGGGTGGAGGGGTGTCGCACTGCTGCGCCTAGGGCGCGTGGGGCGCCCGCACAGCAGGACTTCTGTCTGCAGTTTAGGGCCGCGTGCGCATCAGCACACCCAGAGAGGAGACGCGGGCAGCATCAGCACAGAAGGGTGCCGTGGACGGGCACCGGGCCGGCTCTCACGCAGGGAAGGGGGCCTTGCTGAGGAAGGGGGTGGCGTCTCCATCAGGTGTGGGAAGAATGGGCGGGTTTCACCCAGCACATTTCACCTTTAAACAGGCAAACTGCCACTCAGATGTGCCTGGGGAGGGCGTCAGGGGACCACGCAGGCAGAGAAGTTCCGGATCTGCAGGAATGTCACGTAGAACCGGCTAGCTTTCAAAACTAGTCCTGGGCACGGAGGCACTCGTAAGAACCTGGAATGCACTCCTAAGAGAAATCAAAAAACTGGTTAAGCTCTCCAGCTGGGTCCCCTGTACCGGACCGACCTAGCCCATGGAGCCTGCGCAGTCTGCAAGCGACCCCATTACGCGCGGTCCGTGTCATCCCCAGGCCAGCCGCTCAGCGCGACCTCCCCGCCGCAGCTCGCCGCCACCGGGACCTTTCCCCTACTTTCCAGGCCTCAGGCCCCGCCTTCTGCCCAGACCAAAACACGTGCCGCCTCCCGTCCTGCTGGATCACGCCGCGGCCAGGCTCCGATCACGCGGCCCCCTACGGCGCCCATTGGCCAGCTGCAAACGGGCCTGGCGCGGATTGGCTGGCGGCGGCCGACCCGCCCCCAGCAGGGCGCGGTGTATTTTGGTTTGCCCGCGTGCCCCGCCCCCGGCCGCTCCCTCCGCAGCGCCCCGCCCCTCCCGCGCCGCGAGGGCCGCGCCGGAGCAGAACCGCGCGGGCGGGCGGAGGCGCACGCCGGCCGCAGGGGCTCGGGTAGCTGCTGCCCGTCGCGCACGTGCGGCCGCTGCCGTGCGCCCAGCTCGCGCCCGCGGCCGCTTTGTTGCCTCCAGGCCACCGGCACCATGCATACGCCAGGTTCTGCGGGCCCGAGCGACGCGCGCGCGGTGAGTGGCGGGGCCGGTATGGGAGGGGACGCCGGTCTCAGCGAAGGGCGAGACAGAGACGTACAGCATTGCGGGGCCGGAGCGCGTGTGGGGGGATGCGAGGGTGCTCGTCGCGGTGGCACTGGTGGGGCCCGGGTGGGCTCTGGAGCTGGGCGGGGCGGTGGCCGCGCGGGGTCGGATCGGGTCCGGGCCGGGGCTGGGAGGGGGGCGTGCCCCGCGCCACCAGACATTCAGCTTTGTCTTGAGGTCCGCAGCGGCTCCTCCCGGCGCGGGGCTATTTCCAGCCATGACGTCACCTAGGCCCAGGGAGGAAGGCGGCCGTTGAGTGGGGGCGCGGCTGGCGGGAACGCCGCACGCGGGGGGTGGGGCAGGGGGCGGGGCAAAAGGAAGGGACGGAGGCAAGGGCTGCTGCCCGGGGCTCCGGGGGCGGAGCAAGAGCGGCTGGCGGGAATGCTGGGGGCGGGGCGAGGGGCGGGGACGCAGCACGCGGGTGCCTGGCGGGAACGCTGCACGGCCCGAAGACAGGCCCTGGGGCTCCGCAGTGCACTTGACTTGGGTTAGTCTTATCCCTGGTGACACTGGGCGAGCTCTTCCCACCTGCGGGGCCACTCTGGCCTCAAGGCTGGTTTCGTGAAGCAGGATGCGGGACAGAAGCTGAGATAGAGGTTTTTGCAAAGGTAGCCTCTTTCCCTGTTTGCAGAGGGGAAATCTTGCCGTGGGGAAGTTTTGATCCTTAGGCAGATTGGATGGAAATGTGTGTTTTTATAGATTTAAGGCGGGGCATGTAGGAAGGGAGATAGGCCTCTTCTGGCATCACCTTGGCTCTCCCTCTTCTCACGCCCTTCCAGCAGTAATCAGCACTGCCTATTTCAGAATCTACCGTGCCCTGGGAGTTCAACCACTGGGAAATTATTAGCGAGGGATAATGGATGAGTGCCCAGGAGAGTTCACAAAAATGCTCCCACTCTAGTGACTTTGCCAACTCAGCCACATCACGGGTCTCACCCACCAGCAGACCACTTAGTTGGACTCATTCTCCCTGTGACAACTTCCCACTAACCACTTTGACTTATACCTCTGGAGGTAGTCTTACTGATCATTTGCCCAAGAAAAACTTGAACTTAGGAACCTTTTTAAGGTTGCTAACCTAGTCCAGTCTTGAAAGCAGAGTAGTCCTGAGTGTCCAGTTGAAGTGTTTTACTGGAACACAGAGTTCATTGCTCTGTTTGGAGAGCCACACTCAAGTAGTGGAGGCTCCTGTGTGCACAGCCACATGCCTGTCAGTGTCCTCCCTGTTTTTCTCCTGGATGAGAAGTCACTGTGTTGTGTTCCTTCAGGTTGACATCATGGACATCTACGAGTCCATCCTGGAAAGGAAGCGGCATGACAGCGAAAGGTCTACATGCAGCATCTTGGAGCAGACAGACATTGAAGCTGTTGAGGCTCTTGTTTGCATGAGCTCCTGGGGTCAAAGATCCCAGAAAGGTGACCTACTAAAGATAAGACCTCTCACACCTGTCTCTGACTCTGGGGATGTCCCCACCACTGTGCTTATGGACACAACTGCACCTGAGCTACCAAAGGACTTCCATTCTTTTTCAACTCTGGTAAGAGGATGTGGGGGAGGGGAGCATTTTGTGAAATGCCTGGAGTGGCTTAAATAAAAGTGTTGAACATGAGGGAAGTTACCTTTCATGCCCTGAGAGGGCCCAAAGAGATGGAAACTTTCATTTCTTGAAAATGTTTTCTTTTTGTTGATGAATCATAATTTGCTAGACACAGTTAGTGTCTGTTGGATGAAACCTAAGACAGAGGCAAGGCAGCGAAATTTTCTCACATCCCTGGGGAGTCTTGAGGTGGGGTCTCAGGTTTCCCCAGTGACCTGGTCTGGATCAAGATGTGGGGAGCAGCTGGAGAAAGCATGTGCATGAGACAGTCCCAGTTGGCCAGAAACACTGGCACCTCCGCCAGCGCTGCCTTCCTGTAGCAGCCGATTCATGTGTGATTTGGGTGCATTAAGTCCCTGTTTTTTATTTTTTTTAACTTGATACAACTATAAAATTGCTTAGGGAAATCGCTTGTCAGGTTGGAGAAGTTGAGAGCTGTAGGTTGCTAAGCTAAGTGAAAATTGTGATATGGGTGGACTGGGCTAGAAGCACTGAAGAGGAGTGAGGAAAGCAGATTTGGAGTATGAGGAAAGGGCATGAGAAGGACTGCAGGAGCAGTGGGTCTGGCTGCTGGTTGCCCCTCAGCATTGCTCAGCATTGGACTCTTCAACCAGTGACTGAAGAGGATTTAGAATAATTGGGGGTGGGGGACACACAGTGTAGAGAGTCTGAATTCAGGCAAACTACTGACTAGAGTTTCTGACAATCTGAAATTATTGTGAAAAGCTCTTTGTTTGAAAGTATAGATTTGTTTTTTCTTTGTAGTCCTGATGCTTAAATTGCTCATTTTAGTAGCTGGCCTGGCCAGCAGAGCCCATGCATGGTTGGGAGGGATGGCAGAAAAGGAGGAGCTGATACACAGCACAGTGCTTCGTCAGCCTTGAGATGTGCGGGGTTTCGAGTGGCTCGGACCAGTCTCCTCTAGATGCATCTTGTTTAAGGAACTGGGGGCATCGTGATCAAATAAGTTCTTTCTAAAATTTACCCAAAATAATCTTTTCTCATGGTACTTTTTAATTTGTTTTTAAGTGCATAACTCCTCCTCAGAGCCCTGAGCTCATGGAGCCATCTGGAGGAGCACCTGTTCCTTCCCAAGTAGCCGATTCCAAAGCACCTGTGATCACAGTCCTTCCCATGTCTTCCCCTGTGGTGACCAGAGCGCTGAGCAAGAGGGTGGAGAGGGGCTTGCCAGATTTGAAGCCAGAACCACTGGAACCAGCCCCTGGCCTCCCCTGCAGGGCCATGATGACGAGTGTGATCTGCCGCACTGGCGAGAGTCCTGCTTGCTTTCCTGCCACCCAAGCTCAAGAGCAGCAACTGTGCCCTGGCAGAGGGCGAGAAGCACGGTTTCTAGGACAATTTGAAGCTTTGCAAGACACACATCTCACAGATGGTTTATTCATCACTAACTCGGTTTCCTGTCAGCCTTGCTTGCACAAGTCTGGTAGCCTGTTCCCCACCAACAAAGGCCAGCAGGCAGGGTGGCCCACTGCAGTTCAGACTTGCTCACCAAAGAATTTTGAAAATGACTTGCCAAGGAAAACCACCCCTCTGATTTCCATTCCTGTCTCTAATACCCCCGTCCTTTGCCAAATGATCCCCATGACTGGACAGAGTGCCATGTTACCAGCTATTTTGAAGCCTCCGCCCCCCTCATGTGTAGGGACTGCCAAGCCCATCCTATCCCCGGCTGCACCTGCCCCCCAGCCAGTGTTCATGGGCCCACCTGTGCCTCAGGGAACTGTGATGCTGGTTTTACCACAGAGTGCCCTCCCCCAGCCTGCCCCCTGCCAATCCAGTGTCATGACTATTGGGAACACCAAGTTGTTGCCCCTTGCTCCTGCTCCAGTGTTCATTGCCTCCAGCCAAAACTGTGCCCCTCAGGTAGACTTCTCCAGAAGGAGGAACTACGTTTGCAATTTCCCAGGCTGCCGGAAGACCTACTTCAAAAGTTCTCACCTCAAGGCTCATCTTCGCACTCACACAGGTAAGTACTGGGGTGGTGGGGCGATGGAAGCACCAGACCCCATGGTTGGGGAACGCACCATGAGCCTCCTCGGAGTGGAGAGAGGCAGGGGGAACCACTGAAGGAGGGGAAGGGGGCTGTAAAAGTTGTCACAATCTTAACAGTGATCAGGGTTATCATTAGAATAAGCATGGGCGCCAGTGCTCACCCCAGTGGCAGCACGTAGGATAGTCTTCTGACTGGTCTATTGACAGTTTTTAGGGTAACTTACGGTGCTCCTTTCTCTTTACTTTGCAGTAGATACCTTATGCTTGCTTTGCATTTTAGAAAGGGTGCATTCACATGCAGTAAAAACATCAATGTGAATTGGGGGGCAGGTCCATCCAGGCTTGGAAAGTTTGGATTCTAGAATGTTTAAAACAATATAGTTTTGTTTTTGTTTTTTGAAAATAAGTGACTTTTAATTCAGAAGTCACAAAAGAAGCAATAATGTCATCATGGTCTCTTTATTATCTAATTAGCTCTGTCCAGTAGAAGTTTCTACAGTGATGGAAATGTTCTCTGTCTTTTAGGGTAGCCATAGCCCGTGAACTTGAAAATGGGGCTAACGTGACTAGGAACTGAGCTTTACATTTTCATTAGCTGAAGTTTACATTTAAGTAGCTCATTGGGCTAGTGGCTAGCATGCTGTCTAACAGGGCTGAGTGCTGCCTGGCCGAGAATCACTTCAGTAGATTAAAGCAGCATTTCTCAGGTGTTTTGTGTGTTATGGTCTGTTGTGTTGTTTGATGTTTTCTAAGGGCCCCATGGCTAAATAGTCTGTCTATTAAAGTTGCAATTTAGAGACATACATACGTACTTACATATAATAAGCACATGAACAGATCTGAGATTCTGAGTAAAGCCTTGTTTCTTAAACTCTTTACCATGGAAGCCCCTTTCCACTAGAAGGTCTGCACTGTGGACTGTGACAGAGGAAAGGTTGTGTTGCTGAAGGAGTTACTATTGTGCTTTATTCCAAAATGCTGTTGAGATTGACTGGTTTCTAATTAGCACAGTACACTCTGACTGTGATAGTCCCTACTTACAGAATAAAGTGCAGTCGGGGATTCAGACATCACAGAATGAACTCTCATATTTTATGTTAGAGTGGTTGTTGGCCTTGGGGATGTGACCCTACACCTGGCTTGTGAAGTACTTAGCTCTCTGCCAGAGCAAACTCGGCTTCCTTTGACATTCTTGCTCTAGTTCTGTATTTCCATTTTTTATCCTCACCCCTCTGCCCATCTCAACTTAGTGAGATCCTCCAAGGGTCTTCCAAAAATTAGTTCTTAGGATGTTTCCTGGTCTTCTTTCTTCCTTCTTTCTTTTGACTGACTTCCTGCTAGTGGTTTTTTGTGTGTCTCACCATCATCTCCCTTTGTCTTTTAGTTACTGTATACTGGTTGTATCTCACCTGGATATAAATTCCTGATGACTGACCCTAGTAAGTGATGATTGGCCCTTAGCAAGGGGAGCCTTGTGCTATGTCAGAGTGAAGGGGTACTTCTGAGGAAATTGATCTGCTCTCTTCTCATAGGCTCCTTGGTGGTAAGCTCTGCTTTTTGCTGAGTCTACCCAGGTAAACTTCACATCAGAGCACAAATTCCAGATTTAGGGAGGTGACTGAATGAGATTTTCCTGTTTATTCGATCTCCCTTGGTAGAAGTAGTGACAGAATGGCAAAAAAAATACTGCAGTCAAAGCAAGTTCCTTTCATGCTTCCCAAAGTACTTCAGTTTAAATAACCATAAAAGTTCTGAGAATCCTCTTTTGTGCCATTTTGTAAACACTCCATTGGACTTTTAATGGGAAACAGAAACTATGGGTAAGGTTACTAGGATAAGGATCACTTTTCATATGTTTCTGCCAACCTGAAAAACGTTTACATTGGAATAAGGAGAAGTGAATGAATACTCCACTTTTGATAACAAGTTAGGGAACTTTATAAATCCCATGCCAAACAGCTGTTAGTCTTTGTCCAGTTGCTGGATGCTGGGAATGCTGCTGACAGTGGGAGGAGAACCAGGACCAGGTAGGACTACTGTCTGAGCCTGAGTTCCTGAGACCGGGTAAATAGTAAAGAATAGAGGCTTATTTAGCTCATGGTCTGGACGTGGGAAATCCAAGAACCTGGCCCCAAGGCTGGGAACGAAGCTCAGTGGTAGAGCCTTGCCTAGCATGTGCACACTCCTAGGCACTGCGGAAAAAAAAACAGTATGGCTCCAACATCTGGTGAGGGCTTCTTGGGCATCACATGGAGAGACAGCAAGCCACTCCTTATTAATCCATAAGTGGATTAATCTGCCCTTATGACCCAATTACCCTCCAAAGATCCCATCTCTCAAATACCATCAGCATATGGCTTTTGGGGTTCGGTTTCCAATATGGGAAATTTGGGGGACACGTCAAACCATAGTAGCAATCTTATGCTTAACCTGGGGTTTTGAAATCCATGGAATTTCAGGCCCTCCTGTTTATAATGGTTCATTATGATGCAGAACAAGGCAGGCACTCTGCCACTTGAGCTACTCCTCTGGCCCTGAATTTTCTTTTTAATTAAACTGGAAAATATCACGGTTCATGTGTCTGAAATACCCCTTCGTTCAAAGCCACCGTTGTTTGCCACCTGCTATAGGAAATCCATGAAAAAACAGGTTACATACCAGTACGTAACTGTGTAGCAAATCAGCCATCATACAGGCAATATGTGCTTGGCATAGCCTGGTGGAGGGGCTTCAGGGTGCAGAAAACGGCATGCTTCAGGGTGCAGAAAACAGCGTGCTTCTGGCTGGAAAGGCTGAGGGCCCTGCTGAGGGAGCCTGCTGTCTGCAGGGAGTCTCCTCTGCCCCCTCCTTTTACCTCTTAAAGTAAGACAGTGGAGGCCGTCAGGTGCTCTGAAACTTTGAATGGATGGCAAAGACTGGCAGCTTTTAATAGGAAGGTGTCTATTAGAATGCTAACCTTGCCATTTTGTAACTGACCTATTTCAGTGTAGTAAGAAATACAGAGATAAAATTAATGATTCTGAGAAGTCTTAAAGGTACTAGGAGGGATTTTATTTACTTATTTATTTGGATGTGCAGTTCATCCTAAGAGGGAATTACTTGAATCTTCTCCCCTGGCTGGTGGAGTGGCTCAAATGGTAAAGCACCTGCCTAGCGAACGTGAGGTCCTGAGTTCAAACCCCAGTATTAGGGGGAAAAAAATCTTCCCCAGGAGACAGGAGGATGGCGAGTTCCATAGTGACACCTTATTACAAAAAAAATAATTCTTCCTCCTATCCAAGCTATAACAGTATTTTTATTTAAAAAAATATTTTTATTTAAAAGTATATTTTAGCCAGTTGTGATGACTCAGTCTGTAATTCCAGCTACTCGGGAGGTAGATATTGGGAAGGTTGCAGTCCCAAGGGCAGCTTGGGCAAAGGTTAGCAAGATCCCATCTTAACAAAAAAAGCTGGGTGTGGTGGTGCTCGCCTGTCATCCCAGCTACTTGAGAGACAAAAGTAGGCTGGCTCTGGCAAAACCTTGAGACCCTATCTCAAAGAGTAACCAAAGCAGAAAGGGCTAGGGCTAGGGCTAGGGCTCAAGTGTGGTAGAACACTTGCCTAGCAAGCTTGATGCTGAGTTCAAATCCTAGTACAGCCAGTGCACACAGACACTTTTTAAGAGCTGGATTTGGTAGGCATAGCTATAATCCCAGCATGAATTCCAGATCAGCCTGGGCTACGTAGCAAGATGATGCATGTGTATACATGTGTGTGTACACGTATTTTTCTCTCTCTTTTTTTGTACTGTAATTTGATTTCAGGGCCTCGTGCTTGCCAACCATACCCCCAGCCCTGCTGCTTTCTTTCTTTTTGAGAGAGATGAGGTTAGTTTGACATCTTTGAGCCCCGGCATATTACACTTAGGTGTGGCGAGAAGAAATGCATTTTGCAGAGTTTATTGACTTCTGAATGGTCCATACTGGAACAATATTTTACTTCTGAGATTTTGGTGAACACAACTTTTAAATGGCATGTCTTAACTTAGTTAGTGCAGTGCTGACCATGTCTGCTTACTTTAATATGCTCTTCACCTCCTAGGGGAGAAGCCTTTCAGCTGCAGCTGGGATGGCTGTGATAAAAAGTTCGCACGTTCAGATGAGCTGTCTCGCCACCGCAGAACGCACACAGGGGAGAAGAAGTTTGTGTGTCCAGTGTGTGACCGGCGTTTCATGCGCAGTGACCACCTGACAAAGCATGCCCGGCGCCATATGACGACCAAGAAGATTCCCGGCTGGCAGGCGGAGGTGGGCAAGCTGAACAGCATCGCCTCAGCAGAGAGCCCAGGGAGCCCCCTCGAGCCCCCGCCGGCCTCGGCCTGAGAGGGCTGCTGGCCTTACCGTGGGATTTTTCAAGAGCCTCTTCCAGGAATGGAACCGATGTCCAAAACACATGGTCTGGGGGCAGAGGAAGACTGGGGAGCTGGTTCTGATGGAAGCGTGTTAACTTTTCTGTTCTGGTTGGGACCCTGTTCAGTATCTTTTGTGGTTTCAGAGGCTTTTTGTTTGTTTTAAGGAAATGGAAGAAAATTTGATAACCTAAATCACCAGCACTCAAACAAACGTTTTGGCAGTAAAGTTTACAAAATCTGGATTTTTACAACCTTTCTATTCATGTTTTGTAGAAATGAGACAGGGTACTAATTTTTATACTTTTTTATAAAGATATTTATATTGGTGCTCAGATCACTAATTTCTAGATAGATGATTTTACAGCCTTATTTTCAGTGTTTAGTAACAAAGTTTTATAATGACCCTGCTTTTAGTAAGCTTGGTACATCGTTTAGAAGAAAAAAAAGTTTGTAATTAGACCTTTTAGAAAGTTTTTGGAATCAGACCTGGTTGACTAGGGGCCTCTTAAAAGGGAAAAATTAATTTTGTAGTCAGCTTCTTTGTAGCATTTTCAAGGAAAATCCCAGGCAATCAATCCTGTAGCCCAAGAAACTAAAATTTTGGTTTGCGAGAAGTAGTCACGTGCGTCCGTGGTACAACGAGTACTTGGGCTACTGGCCAGTTCTCGGTGAGCAGCAGCTGGGGCAGGATCTGAGCACCGTGCACTGTCGTTTTCTGGGTGATTGATCTGTACAGAGCAAGGGAGTCTACTTCCTGCTGGTACCCAAGGAACCAAAAAGGAGAATTCAGACACTCAACCCAGCTGCTTTGCCGATTATCAGTTGACTTCCTTTGATGTGGCCTTACCCACACTATGTGGTGGGTAGAGTGACTACTTAGAGAAGAGGAAATGTATTGATTGGATGAACTTTGCACCAAAGTACAGCTCATCTGAAGTGAGGTGCATGTTCGTACAGTCCGCTCAGAGATTCAGATTCCTTTATTAAGGATGAAAAATTATAGGAAATGCATGTTTTGCTAAATGGCAGTGAATGCAATCTACCTGCCCTTTAATTCATTTTGTTTGAAGGAAATTGTTTTGATCAAACAGAAAATTACTTGGAATGGAGTTTTTGCAATTACCTAGCAAATGTACCATGGGCACTTGTAAGCTGGCGTAAGCACGTTCTCCACATACGAGACACTGGCTGCCTGTGTTGGTGGCCACTGAAGCTGGTTTTGGTTGAATGTTGCAAGTTCAAAATAAATGTAAGAACAGAGTGTTGCACTACTTTGGTGGCGTGGGAATATTTCCTGTGTAGTATGGATTACATTTTTATTCGCCTTTTAGTTATTGGCGTTTAACGTTATTAAAATGATGGTAAAGTGAAATGATGAATAATTAAGTAAAATTGGGTGTTGTGTTCAGGTCTTCTTAGTCTGACACGACTCTCACTGTTTATTTATGCGTGCTAGTTCACACCCAGTCTTAGTATCAACTGCTTTTTGACACATACGTGTGTATGTATTCTTAGGAAAATTTCACATTTTCAGAAAGCTCCATAAGTTGAATGTTCCTATTGTCATAGGACATAAGACAGTTGCAGAACCATAATTGTACATAGCTCATGCTTTTCCCATGACCCAAGCCTTTCTCTTACTCTTTCTCTTACACTGTTTTTGACTAGGTGTATGTTGTAAATGGTATCAAATTTGGATATTTTTCTTTTTTTTGGTGGGACTGAGGTTTGAACTCAGGGCTTCGCGATTACAAAGTAAGCGCTCTACAACTTGAGCCACACTTCCAGTTCCAAATTTGGGTATTTTTCTTAATTATGACATGCAAAGTAATGTCCATCCTGCCAGTGTTCTGGCGGGCAATGGAGGTCTTTGATTGCTTGGTTGTTTGTCACACAACTCCATTCTCTGAACAGTATTGTTTCTAAAGAACAGATGTGTTGAAGGTGGTTTTAATTTAAGGTTCCATTTCCTGATTAGATTTAGAAATCCCTTTTGTAAAAGATCCTCCCCTCTCCTCCCCTCCATTTGTCTATTGGAAGATTGTAAGTGGGAAAACTACTCTCCCGAGAACCAGAACCCTTGGTGTCTGCTCTCGGGGCCCCTTCTGCAGCACCTCTGGGTATTGGAAGCTGTGTGATGAGGCAGGTTCCCCAGTGCACTTTATTGCCTGAGCAGTTTTGCTTGATCTTTTTTGACTTTGAGCCTTTTAGTAGTTTCAGTAGTAAAATTTAAAATGTTTCATAATTATGTTTTATGTAACAGACTTTGACTTATTATTTAAATGACTGTGTAATGTAACTTTTTTCTTTGAATCATATAAAACTTTCTTGATTTGCAAACTGGACTTGTGTCCTTTGTCATTTAACTGTGTCTGATGACTTCTGGATGAATCTAAAATTCATTGTGCCTTGGCTTCACCTGAATTCTCTGTTTTCTGGGCTTTAGTCTGTGTGCATTCCCTGGATTGTTCTCTCTGAACTATGAGGATGTTGCTTTTCCTGTTGCCCTAGCAGGATAGTAGGACCCAGCATGCTGGATAGTTGCGACCTCCAGGCTTGTGTTCTTCCCAAGAAGGGGGTGACTGCCAGAGAGGGACTTGCAAGAAGTGTTTGGAAACCCCTTTGCTTCCTCACTTCAGCCCTGCTTGAAATAAGAAGTGCCTCCTTCTCACTCTGTGTGTGTTCTCCTTGAACCAGCTGAGGCAGGATTTGCATACACACACTACCTCACACACCCCTGAACGAGCTCCTGTGAATGGTGCCAGACACTTTGTCAGACTCAGATCTCAGTTTTGCTTGCTGTTAGCAGCATTGGGCAGGGGCCTTGGTGGCCCACAGGCCACAGGACCACCTGGTCATCTCATACCTCACTGTGCTCATTTGCTGGGCCTTTGTCTCCTGACCTGTCAGTGCTGAGGGCCCCCAGTACTCAGTCCTCACACTGAGCTCATTTGGCCTTTCCCAGCCTTGTGACTCAGATAAAACTAGCATCTCAACTGCAAAGACCCCTGAGTATATCTCCTTTATGTCTCTTGCCTAAATTTCACATTCCTGTATCCTACTGCCTGCTTGACATCTGTCCCATCAGCATCTCAAACTTGGAATGGCCAAGCTCTTCCTCTTCCCTCCAACCCCCCCCCCACACTTTGCTTTTCTCACAATTGATGCCATTGTCGTTACAAAGAAACCACATCCCTGTTCAGGTGCAAGACCCAAACTCCTGTCACCCTGCATCCACCTGTCATAGTCCTTGACCTTTCAAAGTGTCTAGCATCTGACTTCTCACTGAGTTCATTATTGTCACTGGCCCAAGTTGACAGTGTCTCCTAGATTTTTGCTGTCCGCCCTGCTCCTGCCCAGGCCCCTTCAGTCTGCTCTGCAGCCATGAAAGCCATTTAGAAATGTCAGGTCACCTCTGCCTAAAGCCCTCCATTGGCTTCCTCTCAAGGAAAAGCCAGAGTCCCCATGAGGGCCTTTGAGGCCTGGCCAGACCAGCTCCCGCTGCCATACAGCCACTTAACCTCTGCCTGGCGTGGTGTTCAACCTCCAGGAGCCACTGCACGCTGCTTTGCTCTTTCCAGCTGACCCCATAGCTCCTTTCTGGGTGGTGACAGATGCCTTAGCCAGCTCTGCCCCCTATCCCCCAAGATTGCCTGCGCACATTTGCTGTAACTCCCAGGATCAACTGCACAAGGTGAAGAAGAGTGCCCAGGGAGAAACCTGCTGCAAAGCCTGTGTGACAAACACCACTCCCTTCAAGCAGAGGGCTGGGGGTCCTCTGTGCTCACTGTCCTGAGTGGTGCAGTGCCTCAGTCCTGAGGAGGGCTCCTGGCTTGCCACAGCACCCCACTACCCAGGACTCCACTGACGGCCTCCTGTGCTTCACCCACTAGCAGCAATATATCCCACCCCCCAGACCCCATCTCTGTACTCATGTGCTCCATCTGTTCTTGCATTATCTCCTTTAGCACCTTCTCAAATTCATCCTGAATCTTTGTGAGTTGGCTGACAGGTCCTGGAAAGGCTGCTGGACATGGAAAAACAGTCTAAGCTATTTGAACCCAGCTTTGACCATGTACCAAAAATGCTTACCACCCATGGTGAGTAAGATGAGTCAGTGTGAGAGTTTAGTGTAACCCATCCAATCTGTTCAATAAATGCTCCTCCAGAGGGCAATAATTGTCCCCTCCCAGTCCCCATATCCCTTGACCTGCAGCAGTGCCTGGCCTATGGTGGGTGCTGAATATAGGTTTGAAAGGTTGCTTCAAACCTATATTCAGGTTCTTACACTGGAATCTGTGAGCTGGTGCCTCCGGATGTCCATAACAGGGATGAGCTGAGCTGAGCTGCTGGCTTCTTGTGTACCAGCTCTTCTGCCAATGCAATTTATGGCTGGACCTCCCAGGTATGGTGGAGAGAGGCACACCTGTGTCCCCATGGAGGGTGTAGTTGTGTGTGCCACTCATGGAAAGGGCCCACTGCTTTAGAGTTGCCTACTGGGAGGGATGGTGCAGGTGAGACTTGTCACCTGTGCAGGTCCTGGCTGTGATGTACATGCAGACACAATGGGGGTCGGCAAGTAATAATGGCCTTTTCATTCAGCAGTTCTCTGGAAACATCTCTTCAATTCCAAAGCCCTTTGTCTCTGGATAGTGACCCCTAGCATATGGCCACAGCCTTATGACTTATCTGCTGTCACCTCTATGTTGTCAACAGGATTCTTTACTTTCTGTTCATGGCATCACTGTTCTTTGTGTTCAACCTGCCTCTTTGTTTAGGGATTTTTAAATGAAGAATTAGAGACATCATCCTAAATTGGGCTTCATCCTGGGAGGAAACCAGGCAGCTTTTCTTATTTTGTGCCCAGACACAGGAGACACACTCAGTACCCTGTAACTCATAGAGGTTTGCTCTCAAAGTCCTCTCAGTCCTCCTAAGAAGACTAGTGGTTCCAGGATTGTCCTGAGCCAGCTCTGCAAATATGTCTGCTGTCTCCAACATGGATCCTCCTGAACTATGAGTATAAACTGACCAACAAGCAAAGATGATACAGAAGAAACAAGACCATAGAGCCAAGTGCCAATGGCAGGGAGGAGGAGATGCGTAAACATAAGGAGATAATGACAATGGTCTCTAAACTGAAGAGACCACCCACAGAATGGGAGAAAATATTTGCCAGCTATGCATCAGACAAAGGACTGATAACCAGAATATATAGGGAACTTAAAAAACAATTCTCCCAAAATTAATGAACCAAACAGAACTTTCTCAAAAGAAGA